TTTTTGCATGCAATCCCTACAGTCTAATTAATCTTCCACATGTTGGGATTATCTCTTCTTTTTTCTTTGTTTCTTAATGTTAATGTGTTTTGTGTGTTTTTTTGCTCTCTCTGTGCTTATCCTATAATAATTATTATTGCTACTCCATTGTGTGTGTGTGTGTTCTTGGAGACTCTCTCTCTGTGTGTGCACCTGGGCTTGCACTGTGATGATAATGAACTGCTTTTTGAAGTGAGAACGAAAAGAAATAACAATAGCAGATGAATTTATATTTATAACTGCGTATATATACACACATATAGACTTATACCCATAGTTGGTGTATATTTCTGTGTTTACTGTGTAAATTGGGCTAATGGTTAAATTTTGTTTGTTCGCTTGCTGTTGATTTACTCGTTCATTGTGCTTTTTGTTGTGTACTCTTTTGCTGGTATGCTTTGTAAAGGGATATGAAAATCGTAACAGATACATAGATTTGGTTTCATATTTGCATATTGAATGAAGCATACACATTGTACTGAGTAATTTCTTTTCTTAATGTGGGTGTTTGTGTAGGTATTAATTACTTTTTTTGGATTTTCTGCGTCATTTTCTGCCGTGCCCCTTTATTGGAATACTCCTTATTTGCGGGTTGTGGTTTTTTTTAGTGTCTGCTGATGTGTTCTCTTTTACCGTCTGTGTGTGCTTTTTTCGATGTCTTTTGTATTCTTTTTTTCTTTGTTTTCTCTTTCTTTAGCAACGTAAACTTAATTAAGAAAAATTACACTTGTTGATATGATACTGCGTCGTGTGTTGTTTTTGTTGGTTGTGCTCCAGTTTGTTATCTTTATGAGTGTGGCAGCTAATGGGACCCCTACTCCTGGTCCTGCTGTTCCTCTTACTTCTGCTCCTCCTTCTGGTCGTGGTGATAGTGAACCTGGAGCTGGGGAAGTTGGTGCTGCTGAATGTCCTGGTGATAATTGTCGTACTTCTACAAGTGCATCTCATGGAAGTGGTGGTGGTAGTGGAGACACTCATCACAGAGGGGATACAGCACAAAGGCCTGGGACAAGCAATAGTGTACAAGGCTCTCCGGGTTCTTCCGGCAACAGTGGACCTGCAGGTGCTGATTCCCCAGGTAGATTACCTGAAGCTGGTGTGGGGTCTGGTGCTGAAGTAGGAGCCAATGGTTCTGCTCGAGATCAAAAGACTCCAGACCAACACAGTGAAAATGGTACTGGTCCTGTTCCTTCTGGTGAGAGTGTTGCTGCGTCTGCCAGTGCAGCTCCACCTGAAAGCAGCAGCAACAGTGACGCAGGTGGCAATTCAACACAACCAGACGGTGATGCAACACAACCGCCTTCAAACACTTCAGACAAAGAGAGTACGGATGATTCTGAAAATACAAACACTGGGAGTGGCACTACATCTGAAGGAAGTGAATCAACAAGCAACCAAACTGAAGGAGTGTCAGGTAACACAGATACAACAACAACAACAACAACACTTCCTCCTGAACTCACAAACAACAAGAAGGGTGATGCAGACAGCAGCAGCAGTATCAGCAGTTCTGTGTGGGTGCGTGTACCACTACTGATTGTGGTTACACTGGCCTGTATTCTTGTGTGCTGATTGTAGTGGTGGTGTGACTCAGGTCATCCTTTGTTTTCTTTTTCTTTTCTTGCATACATCCCTACAGTCTAACTAATCTTCCACCTGTTAGGATTTTCATTCTTTTTTGTTTCTTAATGTTAATGTGTTTTGTGTGTTTTTGCTCTCTTTGTGTGTTTATCCTATAATTATTATTATTGCTACTACTCCATTGTGTGTGTGTGTGTTCTTGGAGACTCTCTGTGTGTGCACCTGGGCTTGCACTGTGATGATGATGAACTGCTTTTTTGCAGTGGGAAAAAGGAAATAATAATAACAGATGAATATTTATAATTGCGTATATGTACACATATAGACTTACACCCATAGTTGGTGTATATTTCTATGTTTACTGGTTAAATTGGGCTAATGTATAATATCTGTTTCTTTGTTTTGCTCGTTTCTTTTGCTGGGTTGGTTGTGTGTTTTGTGCCCTGCTTCTCTGATGTTGATTTGCTCTGGGAATTAATAAAACTAATAAAAGAAGCATTTATATTCTTAATTCCATATTATCTCAAGCATGACTGGTGTTCACGGTGGTTTGTGTGTTTACTGGGTAAGTTGGTCTTGCTTTTAATTTCCTTTTTTTTATTTTGCTTTTTAATTCTCCACGTTACCACTATAAAGGTTTTCTTTATTGTTTATGTTGATTTTGTTTGTGTTTCTTATGACTTCTTTTTTGTTTTTCTATTCTTTTTTCTTCCTCTGTCTGTGTCTCTCTATTTCGTTGTTTTTTCTTCTATACGTTTTCTTTTTTTCCTTCGTCCAGTTTAACTACCCACAAAGAACAAAAAGAATATTTCTTTGTCAAGATGCAGTTGCGACGTGTATTGTATTTTCTGGCTCTAATTATGAGTGTTGCCTCTGTTTGCGTGGCGGCTGCTGAGGCTGGAAAGCCCGGGAGTTCTTCTTCTGCATCTTCTAACTCTTCTGGTGATTGTACTCCTCCTCCTGAAGATGATGCTAATATTATTCGTGATACTCTACGTGATACTAATACTTATTGTGCTAATCAGCGTCCTTCTAATGCTTCTCCTGCTGGTAGTGGTAATGATGGCTCTGTTAATCCTCCTATTGCCCCTCCTTCACCTCCTCCTGTTGCTTCTCCTCCTTCACCTATTGCTGCTGCTGCTGATGCAGGGACTACCGATTCGTCTCCATCTGGAGGTCACACTGGAGCTAACGTCAACAATCCAGCAGGTGAAGGTGCAGTCAACGCGGAGAGTACAGCAACAGCACAACCCACTTCTCCTTCTCCCGAATCTTCAGACACAGAGACTGCCAATGGTTCTGGCACTGCAAACGATGGGGGTGGCAGTACACCTGCAGGGAGTGAACCATCCAATAACCCAAGTGATGAGGAATCAACAACTACTACTAGTCTGCCAAGACCCGAGAATACTACCACAGAAGCACCAACCACCACTCCATCTCCTTTACCCAACGCAGAAATCAGCAACATCGCTTCCACAGTACAGAAGAACAAGGGTAATGCTGACAGCAGTGTCAGTCCTGTGTGGATGCGTACTGCAGCACCTCTACTGATTGTGGTTGTGTTGTTCTCCGCTACTGTGTACTGAACGGTGGGACTTATCTGAGGTCAAATGATAATAATAATGGTTAATATTAACATAATCATAATTGCGTATATCCACCATGGATGAATAAATTAATAATCTGTTTACTTGCTTTATCTTTTAATTGGAATATCTTTTTTGTACTACTTTTATGTATGTGTGTGTTCTTTTTCTAATAATTCCATTACATGCTTTTTCCGTTGTGTGTTTGCAGACAACTGGGCTGTTCTGCTCACTGACAGGATAGTTTTATTTTAAATATAGACATGCATTTGTGTACAGTAATTTAATATACATAAACGAGAGCCGTGGGATATTGTGTGTGTTCTTGGAGACTCTCTGTGTGTGCACCTGGGCTTGCACTGTGATGATGATGATAATGAATTGTTTTTTGTAGTGAAAAAGAAATAATAATAACAGATGAATTTATATTTATAATTGCGTATATACATACATATATAGACTTACACCCATAGTTGGTGTATATCTGTTTTTGTTGGGTAAATTGGGCTCTATTGGTAATGTCTGTTTCTTTGTTTGTTTGCTTGTGGTGTGCTGGGTCATTGTGCACTTTACCCTGCACAGCTTTTGTATTCTGTTAGTGCAGAGCAAATAAAAAAAATAGTAGTTAATACAATTTGTATTCTGAAGTGCTTGAACACACCATCATACCCAGTGCTCTTTGAGTTATTTTTGTGCGGTTGGTGCTCTTCTTAATTTGTGTTTTTTTATTTTTTTGCTTGGGTGCTGTGTACTTTTTCCTGCATTGCGGTGTTGGATTGGTTTGTGTTGGGAGAAGAAATAATAAGGAATACATATATATTTGTAGTTATGCTTGATCCTACAGGAAGAGGCATTTTGATGTATTTCTGTGCTTTCTGCCTCTGATGGTTGTTCTCTTAATTTTTTTTTTCATATTGAGAGGTTTAATTTGGAATCTCTTTTTCGTGCTGGGTATTATATGCTTTGTTCTTTTTATTTGAACTCTAACTGAGTGATGGTGTGTTTTGTGTGTTGCTCCTATTCTTGTCGTTTCGTGGCCTTTCTTTGTTACCTATAATGTTGTATTTGATTTTCTTTCTTTCTGTGCTTGTTTGGTTCTCTCTTTTTAGTTTTTTCTTGCATAACAGAGAATTCAGAAAGTAATCCCACCCACAAAAAAAAACTGTAATGATGGGAATGCGCTACACCATTTTTGTTTTGGTATTAGCACTCTGCTTTGCCTGCGGTATTGTGTGTGCTGAGAATCCTGATATTAGTGAAGGTCCTCCAAAGGTTAAAGCTGAGGAGGAAACTCCTGGTCCTGGTGGTCCTTGCACCCAAGGTGACTCATCTTGTCGTCGTCCTTCTCCTGCTCCTCTTTCTCCTGGTCCATCACCCGGTCTTTCTCCTGTTCATCCTTCTACCCCAGTCGAACCAGGACTTGTTGAGAATAGAGTTTCTGCTGAATCTAGTTCTCCTGGTCTAGGCAATCCTGGTCAGGCGGCAGGGACGTTAAGAGAGCGGGAAGAAAACAAAAGATTGCATGACAGTCAAGATGGGAAACGTGTTGACGGCGGTACGAAAGAAGGTCTCGTCTCAACACAGCAGAAAGAGAAGTCAAAAGAAGAGAGTGAGGAAGAAAATAAAGAATTGAAGGATGCTCTCAAACAGGAACAGGATTATTCCATTGGCGATAGACCAAGTACTGAGGAACCTGTTTCCCAAACTGATGCAAACGGTACTACACAATCAACAGGGACACCAGCTAAAGGTTCGCAATCAGAAGAACCTCCTGCTCCCCCAGATCAAAGGAATACAGGTGACGCTTCTTCTAGCAGTTCATCTGCGGAGAATGCTGTGGGTTCAGATGCTGCAACGGATGTGAGTAACGTTGCCACTTCATCTGCAGCGAGTGAATCAACAAGGAACCAAAATGAAGAAGGAGTAGAAGGTACAGAATCAACCACCACCACAACAACAACACTTCCTCCTGAACTCACAAACAACAAGAAGGGTGATGCAGACAGCAGCAGCAGTATCAGCAGTTCTGTGTGGGTGCGTGTACCACTACTGATTATGGTTACACTGGCCTGTATTCTTGTGTGCTGATTGTAATGGTGTGGTGGTGTGGTGTGACTCAGGTCATCCTTTGTTTTCTTTTTCTTCTTTTGCATACATCCCTTACAGTCTAACTAATCTTCCACCTGTTGGGAGTTTTCTCTTCTTTTTTTTTGTTTCTTAATGTTAATGTGTTTTGTGTGTTTTTGCTCTCTTTGTGTTTATCCTATAATAATTATTATTGCTACTCCATTGTGTGTGTGTGTGTGTTCTTGGAGACTCTCTCTTTGTGTGTGCACCTGGGCTTGCACTGTAATGATAATGATGAACTGCTTTGTGCAGTGAGAAAAATGAAATAATAATAACAGATGAATTTATATTTATAATTGCGTACATACACACATATAGACTTACACCCATAGTTGGTGTATATTTCTGTGTTTACTGTGTAAGGTGGGCTAATGGTTAATATCTGTTTTGTTTTTTTGATGATTTTGCTGGGGTGGTTCAGCCTTTTTGAGTTATTTCTGAGAGTGATCCTTTTTTTTGTTTTTACTCTTACTGAGGTTATTGGGCTGTATTGCATTCTTTAACTGCTAGGTTTTTCTTTATGTGATGTGAGTGTCTTCTGTGGTAATCGATTTGTGTGTCCTAACATGTTTGATACTTCATTTATTTCTTTTTTTACTTTTTGATTGTCCTTCTTTCTAGATAAGTGTTTTTACGCAAACCAAACCCTT